TTTTTTATTTTTTTTTTTTTTTTTTTTTGCAGAGACGGGGTTTTATCTTGCCCAGGCTGGTCTCCAGCTCCTAGCCTCCAGCAATAAAGGTCACATATTAGCCCAAGATAACATCATATTCAACGGTGAAACACTGAAAGCTTCTCCTCTACAATAATAAGATGGTCACTTTCACCACTTCTATTCAACCAATTAGGAAGAGAAATAGAAGGCATCCAGAAAGGAAAGGAGAATATGAAATTGCATTTTGCTAATGACATGATCTTATATTAGCAAATTCTAAAGACTCTACCAAAAAAAGTTAGAACAAACAAATTTGGTAAAGTTGAAGCCTTTATACTAAGTGAAACAAGTCAGACACAAAAGAACAAATATTGTGTGATTCCACTTATATGAGATACCGCAAGTTCAAATTCATAAAGATAACAGTCATCACAGGCAAGAGCAAGCAGGGAAAGCATTACTGTTTAAAGGGTAGAGTTTCAGTTTGGAAAAATAAAGACATTTGGAGAAGGATGTTAGTGATCACACAACGTGAATATATTTAATGCCACTGAACTGTATTTCTAAAAGTAGTTAAAATATTACATTTCATATGAGTTACAGTTATTTGCCATAATTTTTTTTAAAACTGTGCATAATAGCACTATTTGCAACCGTCCCAAACTGGAACACAAACATCTATGACAGTAGAACAGATACATTAATTGTGATAGTAGTCAACTGAAATATATACAGCAATGAGAATGTACTATGCTATACTCAGCAAAAGCATAAACCTCGCATACAACTGAATAAAAGAAGCCAAATAAGAGTATGTAGTTATGACTCCATTTGAAAGTTCAAAAACGGGCCAACTTAATCTACAAGTCAGCTCTAGCGTTTGTCTCTAGAAAGGATTATGACTAGGAATGGGAGTGGGGCACTCCGGAGGACTGGTAACGTCCTCATTATTGGTCTGGGTGGTGTTAAACAAGCGTTCACCATTCACTTTGTGAAAATTCAGAGGTACAATTTTTTTTTTTGAGCTGGTCTCACTCCGTCACCTAGGCTGGAGTGCAGTGCATGCTCACGGCCACCTCAGCGTCGACTTGCTGGGCTCCAGCGATCCTTCTGCCTCAGCCTTCCAAGTAGGCGGAACTGCAAGCACTTACTACCATGCCCAGCTAATTTTTTACTTATTGTAGAGACGAGGTTTCGCCAAGTTGCCTGGGCTGGTCTCGAACCCGCAGGCTCAGGCAATTCACTCATCTCAGCTTCCCAAAGTGAGGATTACAAGCTGAGCCAGAGCTACTTTCTTAGGCACTTTTCCACAAGTGTGCCTCAACTTTGACACTTACATATCTGTATCTTTATCATTTATATGCTTTGATCTCCACTCTCCACGTTGATATTGTCTAAAATGATTAATTTTGGCTAATTATGGGTATACTGTACTTTTAAAAAAGTCTTTCTCCTCCTATACACATTTTATAAAGGCATGTGACCATTGCTATTTCCATAGCTTTTGTAGTATCTCCTGGACTTTTTTGTTGAGTATCTTTTTCCAAAAAGCTTCAATGTGGACATTTGGTGAGTCTTAACTGTTTTTACTAAACCCTCACATTTTAATAACAATTTAGATAAGGACTTTAAGTCTAGTACTTTAAAAATATTGGTTTCCCTATACTCAGCATTGCACTTGAGAAGACTGAGATCAATCTGATTCTTCTTCCTTTATACATTTACTCTACCTAAAAGCTTTTATTATTTATTTTTAGTTGGAGTCTCACTCTGTCTTGACCTGTTGGGCTCATGCAAGCCTTCCGCCTCAGTCTTCCAAGTAGCTGAAACTACAGGCACGTGCCACCACACCACACATTCTGACTTGTAGACAAGGTCTCACCGGGTGCCCAGGGTGGTCTTGAAACCCTTAAGCTCAGGCAACCCTCTCACCTCTGCCTCCCGAAGTGCTGGGATTACAGACGTGAGATACTGCATGTGGCTCCCTAAAAGTTTTTAGATTTTTCTCATCTTTGATACTCTTAAAGGTATGTGTCTAGATGTAGGTACTCCGTGGCCCTTTCGATCTCAATTTAAACCTTTTGTCAGGCCGGGCTCGGTGGCTCAGCCTGTAATCCCAGCACTTTGGGAGGCCGAGGTGAGTGGACTGCCTGAGCCCGCGGGTTCAAGACCCACCTGGGCAACTTGGTGAGACCGCATCTCTATAATAAATAAAAACTAGCCGAGTGTGGTAGCGCGCACCTGTAGTTCCAGCTACTTGGAAGGCTGAGGCGGAAGGATCACCGGAGCCCAGCAGGTCGAGGCTGCCACTGCACTCCAGTCTGGACAACAGAGTGACTCCAACCCCCCCAAAAAATAAATAAAATAAACCTTTTGTCCTGCTGGGTCTTTTATTACCTGAATGTTGGCACACCTACTTCTGTCTTCATCTTGCTTAAACCTGCTTTCGTATTTCCAATTTATCTTTTAACTGCTTCCTTCTGAAGTTTCTCAGTCTGATTTTCCAACTAATTCATTCTTCAGCTGTATCCAACTTTTATTCTTTTTATTATGTTCTTTAAATGTTTCACTATTTCTTATTCTTGGATCACACTGCCAAAATCTTTCTTTTAATGTTTATTAGTCTCATTTTCGATTCTCGAAGTCCTATGTAATAGTTTTTCTTTTGAACCAGTAACATCACTTATTCATCACAGTACTTTGCCTGTGAACTCATTTACCTGGTGGTGTGGGATCTTCTGAGTAAATAGTATGCACTGAAGGACCGAGGACCAGGGGGTTCAGAGAGGGAAGTGGACAGACCCCACAATGGAGAACCTCAGCACTACAAAATCACTGTCAATTACTTCAGTCTGGGATCCTTTAGGTTATGGCGTTCCTTGTGGACACGCTGGGGGAAAAGGCAATTCCTGGAGTCTAGGACCTGCACTGCAACTCACCAGGTACAGTGAGTCTGGAGGGGGAGGGGTGAAGAAATAATGCCCAAGCTAATCAATCTTGACGCCTGTTTTCTTCAACTCTTCGCCCAACAGGTTCTTGCGCTGCCCTAATTTTACCTGCAGCAGAGGAACAGATCGCTGCGCAAGTACCTGCTGTGAAAAAAAAGCAGGCAATGGCAATCAGCTTTCTATAATGAGTCTATCCTTTGCCATTCACCCAGCCATACCCCCACCATGAAGTGCTTCAGAATTGCTCCCCATGTCCCCCAGGAGTTTCACCTTCCGTGGTTGTAATTATTTTAGAAATACAATAAAAGAAACATCCTAATCAAAAAACAACAGAACTTTACATGGTTTTATTATACATTACTATTATCGGAAGCAAACTTTATACAAAAAAAAATCATACAAGTAAAAAAATCCTTGGCTAAGCAAAGTCATTTATGTGCATGCATACACACAAACATACATACACACACACACACACACAATATTTTACATCATTATAATTATACATATTTACAAATACACTATTTAATTATTTTACAATATACCAAAACGAGGACAGGTAATTATAAAAACAAATAAAAATGGATGAAAACTTGAACTAAATAGTTGCTAAGTTTAAAATGCTACAAAACTTTTTTAAAATCTAGAAAAAAAAGTCATTTCTTTAAAATATCAAAACTAAGATTTCAATACAACATCATTGTGGCTTTCATTCTGATAATACCTTTCAACATGTCTAAAAATAAATATTTCAACCACTAACAGGTAGACAAATTAGACTGATGACTGGAACAAGCTGAACATGCTGGCTTGAGATTAGAGAGTCATCAAAGATTATCATCTGGTAATCAAAAATGTGATAAACCCTCCTCTAGTTCCTCATTTAAAACATGAGGAACTTGAAGCTTCTGTGTAGTATGCAATATCAATTAAGACTCCAAGGAATTCAGCAACTTATCTGGAATGTAAGAAAATGCTGAAGTTATGATTCTATTTTTCTGATAGAACTATCTCATAATGTGTTACCTTTTAAATGAGTTCTACTGAGACAATATTGGTGTCAACAAACTAGCTTTTACAGAATCAGTTTGGTAACTATTATTATACTTTGATTTTGACAAAAGTTTAATAAGTTCTTGGGAAAAAAATCAGTTAAGAAATAAGCTAAGAATGAAATAAACCATAATATGTGTCATCATGCAAGCAAATAAAACCTAAAATATCAAATTCATTAAAAGATTTTAGATTTTTCTTTTTTTTGAACAGGTATCTCACTCTGTCGCTCAGGCTAGAGTGCAGTGGCATGCTCACGACCACTGTAGCCTCAACCTGCTGGACTCAGGGGATCCTTCCACTTCTGCCTTCCGAGTAGCTGGAACCACAGGTGCACGCCACCACATCCAGCTAATTTTTTGATTTATTGTAGAGATGAGATCTCACCAAGTTGCCCAGGCTGGCCTTGAACCCCTGGACTCAGGCAATCCTTTTGCTTCCACCAACCACAGTCTAGGATTACAGGCATGAGCCACCGTGCCACCTGATTTTAGATTTTTACAACTTAAAAATTTTAGATTTATAATGAAATTTGGAAATTTCACACTAATTTGCATCATTTCCAGGTACAAGTTATTTATTTCATAAATTTAGATTGTCTTCAAGAAAATGGAAAGCATATTTTAAGATAACATTAAGGTTATCTCGGTGGCTCAGCCTGGAATCCCGCACCTTTGGGAGGCTGAGGTGAGTGGATTGCCTGAGCCCGCGGGTTCGAGACCCGCCTGGGCAGGCGAGACCTCATCTCTACAATAAATCAAAAAAATCAGCCAGGTGTGGTAGCGCGTGCCTGTAATTCCAGCTACTCGGAAGGCAGAGGCAGAAGGATCGCCGGAGCCCAGCAGGTCGAGGCTGTGGTGGCCAGGAGCGGCCACTACACTCCAGTCTGGGTGACAGTGAGACTCCAAGTCAAAACAAACAACAAAAAAACATTAAGGTAAAACAAAAAAACTCAGTTTAACTTTCTAAAGGCAGTAAAAATCTCAAAGTACAATAAATCTAAAAGATAACCAAGCCACTTTGCCCTCAGCTTTTTTTCAAAAAGTTCTTCAGAATAAGCTTCTTCTTCAAATTTCCCATCACTCAATCTTACATTCTGAATTATATAAACAGAAATTTAACTTCATAGTAAACTACTAAATGCATTTTGAAGTTCTCACTAACAAACCAGCTGCTTTCAGAAGGTATGGAAATTAGCAGATTATCTAAAGATAGTAAACTCACATTGGGACTGGAAACAGATTTATAACTCAAAAATAATCAAAACGCTTCACACTGTGATCTATATCCAAATATGGTTTCTACTCAGATTTATTTCAAACTTCATCTAATTTAAAATTAGGTGTTTTCCATTCAAATTATGACCACAAGTCAATTAAAAATACAGTGACACATTAAATTTCTTTATATAAAAATCCAAAATACTTCAGCAATTGGCTAAGGTCTTACTGAGAAAAATCTTATACTTTATTTAATTATTTTAAAAAGACTGGGTCTCACTATGTTGCCCAGGCTGGAGTGTAGTGGCTATTTACAAGCACATTCTCACACACTATAGCCTCAAACTCCTGAGCTCAAGCAATAATCCTGCTTTAGCTTCCCCAAGCAGCTTAGACTACAGGCACTTGCCACTGCGCCCAGCTTTCTGCTGATAATTTTTTTTTGTTGGCTAGAGTGCAGTGACACACCCATGGTCACTGCAGCCTCAACCTGCTGGGTTCAGGCAATCCTTCTGCCTCAGCCTTTCAAGTAGCTGGAACCACAGGTGTGCACCATCACACCCAGCTAATTTTTTGATTTATTGTAGAGACAAGGTCTCACTAAGTTGCCCAGGCTGGTCTCAAACCCCTGAGTTCAGGCAATCCTCTCACCTCGGCCTCCCAAAGTGCTGGGATTACTGGCTTGAGTCACCGTGCCCAGCTCTGCTGATATATATATATATATATATTTTTTTTTTTTTTTTTTTTTTTTTATTTGGAGTCTCACTCTGTCGCCCAGGCTAGAGTGAAGTGGCACACTCACCGCCACTCCAGCACCGACCTGCTGGGCTCTGGTAATCCTTCCACTTCAGCCTTCCAAGTAGCCGGAACTATAGGCAAGCGCTAACCATGCCTGGGCTCATTTTTTATTTATTGTAGAGACAAGGTCTCGTCAAGTTGCCCAGGCTGGTCTCTAACCCACAGGTTCAGACAATCCACTCGCCTCGGCCTCCCAAAGTGATGGGATTACACACTGAGCCACCAAGCCCAGCCTCTGCTGATAATGTAAACATTATTGCCTTTAATAAACTTGTACAAGCATGGCTTGTATAGAAAGTACAAGAAACTGAGGAAACATGTCTGCAAACATTATAATTTCAATGGTAAATCATGTCACCTCTTCAGATGACAATGACCTTTATAAATGTTTTTTGTTGTTGTTGTTGTTGTTTTGAGTTGGAGTCTCACTCTGTCACCCAGACTGGAGTGCAGTAGCCGCTCCCAGCCACCACAGCCTCGACCTGCTGGGTTCTGGCAATCTTCCGCCTCAGCCTTCCAAGTAGCTGGAACTACAGGCGTGCGCTACCACGCCTGGCTAATTTTTAATTTTTATTGTAGAGATGAGGTCTCGCCAACCTGCCCAGGTGAGTCTCGAACCTGCGGGCTCAGGCAATCCACTCACCTCAGCCTCCTAAAGTGGCGGGATTACAGGCTGAGCCACCGAGCCCGGCTAATAAATGTTTTCTTTTTAAATCAGCACTCTTAATTTAAATGTGATAAATATTATATTAGTGATCATACAGAGTTCGCTGGTTATGAACCACATATGGCTATTCAAGAATGCTTTTATTTTTCTTCACTTATAATAAACTTATTATTGTCAAATGGATTTCCCCCCACCTTAGACTCAACCGCCATCAGAAGGTTGAGGAGATGCCATGCTGATCTGAACGGCAGCAGGCGTCACTCTGAGCACGTCCCTGAGGATGAGGTCACCTTAGATGCCTACACGAACAGCCATCCTCCAACTTGTGACTGAAGCAGGAACTCAACTGGATGTCTCTCACCCACTACTCACATCTTCAATGACTAACAGGCCATTAACTGCACAATTACAGTGTCAAACATTCACTTTAGTAGTCTCCTGTAGGGTAACCATTAACTACCTGCATTTTGACTTTTCAAAGAGCTTCATTAGCTGCTGGAATCTTTCTGAGACCTGAAAATTTTAAAATGAGTGTTAATTATAAATTATAATTATCTCAATAATTTTTTTCATCTTTGAAGAATACTTTCACAAAACATTTAAAGACAGAGAAAGTTACATTCAACAATAAAGAGATAAAGTAATATTTAGGAAGATAAAAAATCTTCATACTAAGAATGATTGCTAGTCTAACATTTCAATATTAAACTTTCTTCTGAGACAGGGTTTCGCCCTGCTGCCCAGGCTGGACTGCAGTGACCACAGCTCACTGTGACCTCAAACTCCTGGACTCAAGTGATCCTCTCGCCTCAGCTTTCCCAGTGGCTAGAACCACAGGCACACACAGCCGTATCCAGCTAATTGTTTATTATTTTGCAGAGATGGGGTCTTGCTACATTGCCTTGGCTGGTCTTGAACTCCAAGCCTCAAGGGATCCCCCTGCGTTGGCCTCCCAAAGTGCTGGGATTTCAAGAGTGAGCCACTGTACCCAGCCTCAATATTAAACTTTCTTTTTTTGTTGAGTCAGAGTCTCACTCTATCACCCAGGCTGGAGTGCAGTGGCACAATCATAGCTACCACAGCCTTGACTCACTGGTTCAGGTGATCCTTCCGTTTCAGCCTTCCAAGGAGCTGGCCCAGTTAATTTTTGGATAGAAACAAGGTCATCCTATGTAGCCCAGGCTGGTCTCGAGCCCGTAGGCTCAGGCAATCCTCTCACCTCTGCCTCCCAAAGTGTTGGGATTTCAGGCATGAGCCACTGGGCCTAGTCTTAAACTTTCTTTTTTTTTTTTTTTTTTGAGTCAGAGTCTCACTCTGTGCCC